ATACTTGTTGTACCTCAGTCAGTAATTGACTTGATTTCCCCCTAGAGACTTCACCCTTGCCATGTCTGAAATTAAGGACCAACAGGACAACCAGCAATGGCACAGCGCTCCCCTTGAGTCGCTGAGGCCAAGGTCCCTCCCTGCTAAGTCTTTGATTCCATTCCGGAACCATCCGAGCCCACCTGTTCTAACAAGAGAAGCTTGTGTCCACTGCTTGCTGAACCAGACTGGAGTGACAGCAGGAGAGTGAGATGAATTATGTGATTGTTTCTATTTCAGGCATCTATGTAACATATATCAATAACTATTGATATAGACCCCTGGTAGGGTAGGTATATATAGGGGCTCACTGGTCGAGCAGTACTGTAGTAGAGTTCTTTGTATAATTAATATATCCCCAGTATGGGAATGGCCTCCACTGAAGGTTGTCTGTTTGAAACCTGGGTGAGGTTCTGTCAGGGCTCGGCCTTGGACTTGGAGGCTCCCTGACCTCAACCCCCATCTAACCTGTCCTCACACTATGCAGGGCATGAGATGTATAGTAAAAGGAAGAGAATATGTACACTTGCCTATGTGGGGCATGAGATGAGAAGAAGGGTAAAGGTCTCATCTCCCCGCATGGTTGCTATATAAAGGAATGGGTCACATGCCCACAACTATACAGCTCCTAGAGTTGTGTAGTGTGACCTGGAGGGAACATCCAGGTGGCAGTGCCCAGTAAGTGTGGGAACATTCTGGGCAAGCTGCTCGCTCAGAAAGTTCCCACGCTATCCCATGCATGCGGATACACAACACACAGAAGCAACAACAGGGCAACAATGAAGGAATGGGAGGAAGGGAGTGGTTGGGGAGTCTGGGGCACCCTAGGGCAGGGTGCTGAACCCTGACAGGTTCTCACTTTTGGGCCTATTTTACAAATCTATTGTATCATGTTGCAACATGGACCTAGCCATTGCAATGCAGGCTCAGCCATTGCAACATCAAGTGTTTGACACCACGGTTGCATGGCCACCTACCTGTTTTGGCAGTTGCATTGCATTGCAACGCATTGCCACAGATTTCGGTTTTTTCCGACAATGGTAGAGCATCTGTTAATACAGATGAACAGGCAGAGGATTTCTACTGCCAACTGCTGGAGGCAGAGCACCTGCGAGAATGTGGCCTCACCAGTCACGAAATTTATTCCTTGGCACCCAGTCACCAGCACTGAAAATGTAAATGACACACAAGACCTAGTGATGTATGAAACAGCAAGAGCAGAAAGGCCAAGACTATAACTGTTGGAATATCAACAATCAGTTCTGACAACGGAGTTGCAAGGACAGTGTTGGAATACAAGTCACATGATGAAACTGAACCAGAATATCCGGGAATATTCTAGGGGTTACTAGGTGCCTGCGTAAGTGCTGGGCATAGAAGAGCCTGGAATATTGTTGAGAAGTATAAATATGGGCGCTGGAGCGCCATGTGTATTTTAGTTAGTTACAGTTTCTCTTCTTTCTATATTACATCTGGGTTGCGAGTGAACCGCTGAAGCGGGTTGCCATATATGGAACACCGCATTTACAACAGACAGGATTGATTACCTTGCTTGCAAGGTCATTGCCAGGTCATAATTGCTGTGGGAAATATGTAACTATTGCAAATTCCTATGAACACATCACATGTTTTGACATTTGACCTCCGTTCCATCCTCACTCGGTTGTGACCAACGAGAATCAGGCATTGCTTACCCATAGTCAGGTTTCCTTGCGATCTGTGGGACCTTCCGACTCCTAAAATCTCGAACCATGCCTCCAATGGAGCCCAGCACACCATACATTGACTCGCGAAGTAAAAATTGGACTACCCAATCTGAATGGATACGATGATGGTAGCGACAACGAATCAGGTTTGCTCCATTAATCTGCTTGGTGTGTGAGCTGATAATATCCACATCTGAGATAACATGTTCAAGGAGCGAAGGTGGTGAACGAATCCATTACATGCATACCACGAGGGGATCCAAGGTGTCATTCCCCCTACGGAGTATGCGACTGCTCTTCCCGGAGCAACTGTCCAAGTTTCTTTCACGCTGGCATGTCATTTGATAGGAAGTAATGCCGGGAAGAAAGCGACTTTTGTGTGGAGATAATTGTTCTGAGGGACCCCCCCTTGTCAGCGACCATGCAGAGAGTGGCTCTCCTTCCAAGCGGCAATTCTCTGGACCATCTTTCTCTCCCATTAAACGCCAAAAGGCAGAAATAATGTGAGAAGGCATGTATCACTTGTCCCAACCACCTTCACCTAGAGATGGGCATGAACTTCACGTGAACTGCATGAACCAAAGTTCATGAACTTTCAGGGTCCAAGGAGGGTCACACAAACCGTTTGTGAACCGTTCACAATCCGTTCATGAACATTATATTAGGTTACCTAATAGCTCGGGTCCAGCCAGACGACCGTTTCTCGCTCTCTGATTGGCTCAAGCCTCGCTCTTGAAGGTTTTAACCTTAACCCTGAGTTGGGGTACCAGTCTAGCTCATCATCCGTATCATCGTCATCTTCACTGTCGAGGTTGCCATAACAGTTATAGGGCTGATATGAGTAGACCAAATCAGCACTAGCTCGAAAGATAAACTGGACATGCATGCATTCGGGGCAACAAGCATGTGATGGTAGTGTCGGTCAAATTTTGCCACAGCAGAGTTTTCAGGGATGAGATGACACCAAGATGAGCCACATTACATTTCATAGCCTTCTGTTTGAGCTTATCTGTGGACATGTTCTGCACATGACAGCAACCAGGATGACTTGACTCGCAAACATGAGAATACGACAAATGAGCTGGTTCCATGCCTTTGGCTGGAACCCGCGAGAGTGTTTGATTAAAGTGAGCATATTATTCACTCCTCCGCCGGTGTCTGTTGTATGCTCTGAAGATAGTTTAACTGAGCAAATGTGATAAGGACGACATCGACACACCTGCAACATTTGCATCGCTCCAGCCCAACTGTATAGCCTGGACATCCATAATTTTTCCTGTCTGTGTCACATCCACATCTGTTGACCAGTCTATTATCAGAGGGGTGTCTAACATGTGTCTGAACTCTGAAGAGGCGAAGCAGAAAGAATTATAATTGAAGTAGTGGCTAAACGGCGGTCTGCGGTGGCTGGGCTAATTACCTTGCTTGCAAGGTCACTTTCTGGGTCCACAATTCATGGGAATCTTCACTTTCCCACCCCACCGATCTCTCGTCCCATTGGCTACTACGAATCCTGACTCGTGATCTCTTCATGTGCTTTTACATGTCCCATTCATTTAGTCACAAGGTCGTGATTATGTGGTTTCGATCGTTGTCCACTCTGCCACTCTGCCACTCTGCCATCTGAGTCCTCTCCCATCCGGTGCACGTCTCCTTCCCCAATCTTTCATCTTCTACCTCCAAGATTGGACTTGCTGGTTGTCTGAAGAGCCCCTCATTGAATGCTCGCAAAAGTCGGATCGTGTCACGGCCAGAGCTTCGCGATAACGCCACATAAGTGTTGAATGGTGTCAGCCCTCCTGTTGGTGGAGGTGCAAGATCGATGATGACATGCCAGATTGTTTGGCCTTGAGATAATCTGTGAAACCATATGCCCCTGTCATAGGCAGTTGTCGGTGCTTCACTGTCTTCGATTTCCCATCGACAACATCCACCTGATCTCTGGCCACTTCTTCCTTTTCGACTCTTTTCGGAGTGTCTGGATGTAGGGAATGGATGTGTGGTGATGCGTGCTGTGCACGCTTTCTTTATTCATTGTTTATTACTCTTTATTTCTCGATGTAAACAATGTATATAAATTGCGGGGAAGGGTGAAACAGGTTTTCACTCTTCTCCTCCCCTGTCGAAATTACAGCTCTATACTGCCTAATTCCTGACAGCTTGAGGATAGTAGGAGTCAACACCAAGGTCGGAACCTCAACCGACCTTACACTGGATCCTTAACGTACCTGTTGTCAGTCCACAACAGTTGCCATTGGCTCGTCTACCATTATCTCGAATTAGAACCCGTGGCAGAATAACAAAGGGCACAAGCCATGATTGTATTCAAATTGCAGGGAAGAGACGTGCACAATAACGTTGTCATTTTGGCAGGCGGTGCAATGTGGAGAGAAATTTTTACATAAGAGTGTATCACACAACAGTTGAAAACCTAATGTTGATGGCGTTGACATTTAGTGGGTGAGAAAGAAGGCCCAGGAAACGGGCATTCAGAGGGCAACCCATCCTTTCCTCGGCCCTTGACCCACAGGGAGAGATCATCAAGACTATGTTGGACACAAATGAACGAGCACCTGAAAATAACGTCTCTTGAGTCAAGCTGGAGCGATTACTTGCTTGTGTGCTAGCCAGGACGCCACCAATCACGCCACCGATTAAGCCTTCAGAATCCCTGCGAGTTTTGAAGCCTGAAGAGTCACTGAATATTGTCGATGCGGGAGGAGTTGATGATGTTGTGATGACCACAAGCAAGGTCGTGGCTGCGTAAGCGGCCCTTCTAGTTGTTGATGGCGGAAGTGAGGTTTGGGGGTTGAACTTTACACCCCCATTTTTCTTTATGTGACGGGCTCACCACTGGCGTAGTTCGCGTATAAGAAGGGAGCTTTTTGGGCTCCCTCTCCCTCAGATCTCTAACACGAGTCTGAGGTGAGATTGACGTTATTATTTCTTACAAAAGTATCTGACTGTATACTAATTGGCGCAGACACTTACACGCCATAGGTACATATAATTTTATAGATCTCTAACACGAGTCTGAGACACTTACGCGCCATAGCCTTACATTTAAAAATAACTGGATTGCCCTCAGACACGACCTCGAGAAATTCGTCGCACACGGACTCCGCCCCACCCGCTTGCTGGAAGGAGCCAACCCAGCCAGAGCCGAAGAATGGATGCAGACAGAAGGCGCAATCCTAGTCATGCCACTAGATGCGGCCTACAATGAAGAGAATGCGTGTAACTTCCAAACCAATATGGAAGTCTTCATCAAAAGAGCCTTTCTGGACCAGACCAATAGAGTGAGAACCATCCTCCCTTTCCCTGCCGAAGTGGATAAAAAGAACTACACACAGTATGCCCAACCATGGGGCTTGCTAGTCCAAGGCCTAAATGTTATGACTCGATTCAGTCCAGTCCCATATAAACCGCCGTCACTCCGACTCCCTCTTACATTCTTCTCCCACCCACCAAGTCCCTCTCCCCACGGATCGACTCATATAGAGCCCGTGAACTACATGAGATGGAAGTATCGATAGAATCTCCTAGAAAGTCGTGGAAACACGCCACTGGGATTCGCCGAGGCATTCGTGTCGATAATATGATTTCTGTCGATGCTCCAACCCATTATCAGCGTCCTCCTGGATCCGTTGCACCATACAATACCTCCACTTGGGCCCTACCAAAAGGAGGCAGCCCCACATCGGATACCCACTCCGCTCCACGTCTGCACCGCAGCGTCTTGTCTCCTCTCCAATTGCCCCAGGATAGTCGATTGTACGATGACAGCCTGGATGACGAAATTGGATTGGGGTCTGCAGGGTCTGACGACCAAAAGTATCTGATTACTGCAGAGGATGGAGAACTCGTGTCCGTAGCTGATTCACCCGAAGCGTGCAAGCGACGACAGAATACCGTTGCGGCACGTCAGAGTCGACAGCGAAAACTGGAATATGTCCGCTTGCTCGAGACTCAGGTCGCCGAATTTCAGAGTGAGCGCGATGGGGCTTAGAACTCGATGCCAAAAGGCTGAGGAGAAGGTTCAGTGGTTAAAGGAGATGCTCATGGATGGTCGATGCAGCAGTTGAATCTAGCATGTCGACTTAACAACTTCCGACAAAACTCCTATTTAAAATTGCATCTTCAACAGATGCCCAACATTTTGCGTGCGGATCGCTTCATGGGTTTCATTCTCCCGTTCCGCCCACTTATGGATCCGAAGGTGCTTTCTCCAACAAGCCCCCCACTTTCAATTGACGCACTTGTCCACATTGTTCGTTTGATTCACCTGCAATATCCCTTTCCTGTACTCAAGCGCTGTAATTTTTGTTGTTATGTTCTTGCGCTAGTCGTGATTGTGTTGCGTTATATTTTTGTCCCTATATTTCCGTTCAAATCAACTCTCTACTTAGTCCATAATGCACTGTGTTAGCGCCCGTACATTTCGATAATGACAATAGTAGGACGTGCAGCTTCTGAAGGACTTTGAACGGTAACTCGGTTCGGAGGGGTATCAAGCCTTGAGCCGCACGTCCTACAGATTGAAAGTTTCCTTCCGAGTTCTTCCAGGCGGCTCACTCATTTGAGTCACTTGTGCATGGAGATTACACGCTATCCTCTAGAATCCAATATCCAGTCGAGCCATTACCCTGTCGTTGCAAATTTCCTTCGTGTTGCCAATGGGAACTGGCCGGTTATTAGCTTGAGCCTGGCGCTCATTTTTGTTGTTGTTGTTGTTTATGTAAACAACGATCATTGCAATAGAGGCTGGTCACCTGCTTACGACCACTTGCAGGATGGCCAGAGATGGATTCCCAGCCAGGGATCTACCGGATCTACGGGATCAGGGAGTTGATCAAAAAAGTCGGGTTCGATGACTCGTGCCGATCCGATCAGGGGTCAATGGGTAGTGCCGGAGGCGCGGGTTGCGGCTGTGCATGTGTTCGTTTGAAGTTTACCGGCCCGACTGTTCGTGCAGATCTGCAAGATCAATGAGCCCAGGAATGAGCACTGATGGGGGTCGGCAACCGAAGGTTGCTCATGCGACCGCTTACGTAGGCGGAATAGAGGGTTGCGAAAATGTTTTGGCTGCTTTCTCACACTGAGAAAAGTTGATTCCATGTGATGCAACAGGATTTTCGTGGAAAATCCCACTGGAGGATTATTGGAGCAGGACTTTTTTCGACCATTGTGTCGTTCCCCAGACACTCTTACTTTGGTTTGCGAGAGGTTGACGATTTTAATCATGTCATTCCACATACCACCGCCACGGCTTCACTGGAAGAAATCCTCAGTGAAGGTATGTGCTCGTACCATACTATCCACTGTATCCATTGAAACTACCCGCATCTATCCTCCGGAGCCCGTGTAAGAAGGACAATGTCCCTGATGCCCCACTTCGACGTAACTTCACCAATGTGTACCTTAAACCGTTTCGTGAGATCATCAGATGGCTGCCGGAAGTCATGCCACGATGGGGGAAGTCACGTATTGCGGGTGGAGGTGATAAAATGTGCACCTCTTGGGCACGGAATGCGATGCAACTTTTGTTAGGGTGAGTTGCCTGATTGCTCTTTAATCAGACGTTTTACTGAAATTCATTAGTATGGGGTTGCTGTAGATTAAAATCCTGGTGTCCATCGGAAGATGCCGCTTATCAAGCAAATTTGCTACGGCATACTGTACGAGATACTTGTATGCACACCCCCGACCTCGAATTTCCTGGGCATCGATGCGCCAACGACTCATGCACGTACTCCCTCTTGTTTCTGATTGCGGAGCTCATGACAATGCTGCACTCACTCCAGTCTCCTTCACTTCTCTCTCAGAGACGACACAGATTATCGCGTTAGCATCGGTATCATCGGTGTGTGGCCCGTTTCGTTTTGGAACAGCATCGCCGCGATGGGCAATTGGAGATCATGGTATTGAGCTTGCGCGGCCCATTTTTGACGTCGGTGATGATTGATTACATTGTAATACAGGTGAATTGGTAAAGCAATGCTGTACGGGTGCGTACTCATCCTCAGATCCATCGATGAAAGCTTCTATTACAGGTGCGTTGCATGACGGAAACACAATGTGTTGTACTTAACAAGGATCAAAAGGGAATATTGCCCCAGACTCGTGGACGAAAACTAGAAAAGTACGCATATATGGCCGGACCAAAGTGTCGTCAAACCGACAAAAGAATTCTATCAGTCAAGCAGAAGTAAAGAAAAGGTGCTGGTGACACTCCATGTCGCGCTTAAAATTAATCACAACCGTGATCAGTCATGCTGGCAGAATCACCTAAGCTGCCATGAGTGCCCTACTAGAATATTGACGGCATATAATACACACTGTCCGGCTCTATTTGGAACGGCCAACTTCGGGAATATCCTCAAGCCAACTAGATAATAATGGCGTGAGATGGAAGCATGGTAAAATCACCAACGACACGTACTCCACCTGGCCTCCTCCGCCGCCGCCGCCGCTTCTTTTGGCGCCTAGTCTGATAGTGAGCTACGACGTGAACATTAATTGGTATTTTTGGGACTCACTTGAGCCCTTAGGGCCAAGCGGACCCTTGAGCAGCTCCAAACGTCTGGCATATGCATCCACAGTAGGCTCGAGCGGTTTGCTACGTGCCGGGAGAGCCGCCGAGAAAGACACCCCAAACGCAGCCAAAAAGAGTACGAGGGTGGGAAGTTTGGTCAGAAACGTGAACATCCTGTTAAGTTTCTTCCTGGAGGGATTCTGTAACGGTTACTAGTTCCCTCAAAGGACGGCTTTATATAGGAACCGGAAGGGCACAACCTGCTCAAAGGGCAGCTTCGCAAGCATGCAGAAGAGACTGATATCAAAGGCCAGGTCATGACATCCACTATGTTACCACATTGTCGAAGCGCATTGCTCAGCCATTAATATTAATCCCTCCGGCTTCAGCAAAGCGCCCTGATGGACGCTAGTAACCAAAAATCAGTAAGGAAAAAAATCACCAGGGCCGTTCAACTAACTTGCACTAAAATTGATCCGAACCCTAGGATATCCCCTGGTGGAGAGGTGGGGGATATTGAAACCGTCCCTCTTGTAAAATGGATAATCAGTCACTGTGGGAAGTAAAGCGTAGTGAAAAACCATGTTTTGGTCCGTTTTTTACCATTTACCAACGTTTTGGTGGTACTTTGAAGGTGGTAAATTACCGCATATGCACAGTGGGGTTGAAGGCCGGTTTTAAACTTCGTAACATACCACTCTGTCTATGGTATTTGAAACACATTGAATTTTGCACGTATGTACAATGGGTTAGTCATCATCATCCATGCCGAAAGCTGGCCTCGCAGGCTTGCTACCGCGGTCTATAGTAGCCCAATTAGGGCCTGAGTTCATTCCACAATGAAACCGGCCACAAACTCATGATACAGATGCGAGCACAACAATTTGTGTAGTGTCGGAGAGTGCAGTAAATGAGGTAGGCAATAATGCCGCATCCAAGCGCCACTGTCTGAAATGAGGGTGAGGAGGTGTCATTCATTCTGAAGTCGTTCGAGAATTTCATGCAGTTCCCCATAATAGATCATCCTCAGTAGATGGGGATTCAAGTCCACAGTGACCCCATACTGCCAGTGAAGGGAACATCAGGAACATCAGCAAAGTCGGCTTGCAGATTCTCACGGGTCGGCGACTGCACTATGCCTGATTATTACTCTCACGACCAGCTAGACTGGAATAACCATAGATATGCAACCTACTTGTATGCCACATCCTCTAATTCCATGTCAAGTCATAAATTTCTGGGCAAACAAAGACAAGACAGAGGGATAATGCCTGTCTGTTCAGCTAACAGGAAAATTATTACTGATAATAAAATCAACTAATCGGGTGGGAGCGGGAAATGCTGTGCAAGGGGTACTATGCAGGATGCTCTTAATATACAAGGATAAAGTTTTACATGCCAAAGGAGGAAATCCCTAAAAAAAGTGCAAGAAAGGCAAAAGGCAAATACTAGCTGGGTGAATGCAAGAAAGCATGAACAAAGATGAAACCTCCTTGATGAGCTTGTTGATGGGGAAAATCCCAATAACAGAGGTGAGAAGACTTTTGATAGTCACTTCATCACAGTCAACATTGAAAGAGGGCTCACAGCTCTCTATGCCGACTAAGCTTGGGGGGCCAAACTCCTTCTCTCTTGACTTGACTTGACTATACTCAATCCTTGAACTCCATGGTGGGTTCTTGCAAGGTCCGGGCTCAGTGTCCACTACTCACTTGTTGTGAGCTAGACCACTGCCCTTATTCCTACTGTTGGAATTCCACACACTCACTCCAAATCTAGCATGTCCGTGCCTTAGAGAAATTGGGGGAGGGGAGAACTTCTTTTCAAAAATCTGGTATGTACAGGATTATATCTAATAATTATTTTTAGAAAGAATTAATGGTGGATATTGGTGCCATATGGCATCTGAGTCCCTTATTAGGCGAAATAATAAAAAAAGGGTAACAGTAACAATAAAAGAATATTGATCAATATCTGAAATGATGGCAAAAATATGAAAATATAAGAAAATAAGTGATTTCTCAATGGATTTATGTGATTAAGAGCCAAAATCGGAAATGTGGCTGAATAGAACTATTATGCAGCCAATGAACATTTTTACCAATTTATTAGACACTGTGGGAATGAGTGAGGCAGGAATTCTGGGTTGCCGCTTGAGATTCCCATGCCCACACATGCTTGTGACCTGCCATGCCTAACTTGTCCAATGCAGAACTCTGTCAATTCTCCACCATTTGGGATGTTTTTGGTATCGTCGGAATCGTATGAATTAGCACTATTTTTGGATTCCAAATTCGTACCGAGTTGTCGCGTGAATGGAAGGTAGATTTCTAATCGTGAGAATGGGTATCCGAACTGAGTCTGTGTGTGGGTGATTATCCTGCCTACAACGTCCAGGAGGCCACCCACAACCTGAGGCATGTGGGCTGTGTTGACATGCTGAACATAGACCTCGATAAACTTGGCCAATCCATTTTGATAAAGATAAAGAACAAGATTGCAAACAAATTCGAAGCGATCACAGATGATGATAAGCAGGAGTTGATTGGAAAGTTTCACCTTGAGGGGACTCTTGACTTTCTCTGGATTGTAGTAATTGCTCTCACAGCAGATTTGTTCAACCTCACAGATCTGGCCAGTCCAAGTAGTGGCCTGGATATACTTGAAGTGAACCTCAGGTAGGGGTGGGGACTTGAATGACACTGAGATTGAATGGAACAACTCCTAAGGGTTCATCAGAAGGGTAGCATAGTAGAACGTGAACCTTTGTACCTGTTAGAAACCACCTCCACCTAATGTGGGCACTTAGTGTAATTGTCATATCCATACAATCCCAACCTCCACTCCAGGCTCCCGGAACTCCGAAACTGACTCTGGAGCCCCACTTCCCTTCCATCACCTTCTCCTTGCTGACTCCCAAGAGGTTATCCCACCTCCAGCTCCAATACCACCTTTGGTCCGACTCCGGAACATTCCGGGTCCAACCTCAACCTCAACACCTTCCGGATGAGCATGCAACACCTATGCTCCCGACTCTGGACCTCCGCTCCAGAATCCTGTTTGTGTCTCCATCTCCGGAACCTCCGGTCTTAGCTCCGACCTCGGACTTTGACCCCACCTCTGCTTATACCCATTGTATTGGTTAGCTCATTCCATTTAATTGCCTTTGCCAATATTCCAGAGTTTAACTTCTGAGTTCGGACTTTCCGGACTTACTTCGGACCTTGCAACTATTGCATTGTCCTATTCAATTCCGCTATTCTCCCTCATTCCTATTTGGGCTGCTGCTTCCTTTCTATTCAGTCAGCTGGCCATTCCCCACTCCCATCCTCCTTCCTTCCTCCTTGGGCCTTGGCCCTTCACTCCTCCTTTGGGAAACACCATTGAGTCAAACCCTTGACCCTCGGTGTTGTTCCTCCTTCCAGCTCCCTTTGTCTGCTTTCAGAGTACCCTTGCTCCTTTTGATTCCGGACCCCTCCTTATATACAATGTACATAGTAACTTGTAACCTCAGTCCGAAATCGACTTGATTTCCCCCCAAGAGACTTTCCCTCTGCTAGATCCGAAATTAGGGACCCCTAGGACAACCAGCAATGGCACAGTGCTCCGCATGAGTCGCTGAGGCCAAGGTCCTTCCATGCTAAGTCTCCGATTCCACTCCAGAGTCGTCTGAATCCACCTGATCTAACAGGGGGGGGGGGGAATTTTGGGGAAATAACTCTGGTAGCTCTTGTTTATCTTCTTTCCATGGTGGATTTCCCTAAAGGTCACAATAGCCCCTTACCAATTGTGTGGCCACTCACAACACCCAAGTACACAGACTTCAAAAGTAGTGGGAGGGGGGAAATCTTGGTTTTGGTATCAATTGCTATGTACATATACTCATACAGTAAATATACAATTCTGAAAAAGACTCCAAAATATATGGTTTGGCTAAGCCAAGCCTTCACCAACAATGGTGGTAAGGCTCGGTTGCCATTGGCTTTGAATAAATTTCCAAACAACAAAAGAAAATTGAAATGATAAACACCAACTTCCTAATACCACTCCCAATATCGCGTCAAAACTCTGTCCCTTTATTCCATTCGACTCTCCTCATCCATAGCTTTCTAAGGATACCGATTTTGTGAAATTTGGTGGAGAATTGACTGAGAATGGGAATTCTCAGACACAGGATACATATCTTGATTATCTGTGCACAGGGAAACTTGGACCAAATAAAATTCCAAGACTCCTCCATTGACTTTAGCATTTTTATCATTTAACTAGCCCATATTCTCTTGGAATTCCACTGAGACTGGCTCACATGTGAGCATCTGCATAGTTCATATAGTCCCATTGTCATATCCATCCATGGCCATCATCCTCAACCACCTCTGGTCCTCCAGACCCCCTCTGCTCCTTTGTCACTAACCTCGGAGCCTCCAGTTTCCACAACCACCTCCGCCTCCCCCGATGGTCACCACCTCTCCAATTCAATATATTACCTATGCTTCCCTAAGTACGGAACCCCGAAGGCCTCTGGACAGCTCCGACATCTGCTAGTGCACTCCTGCCCCCACTGGGCAATTCACTTGCTTGCCCTGCAAG